TTTAAGCATCCATACGAGGCATGAGCAACTCCTGGGGTGTACTGGCCACCAGCTCTGGGCCAGACCCTGCAGAGGACAGGGGAACTTCTGAGACACAGTGGCGAAAGTCTTCAAGAAAGTCACTAGGCTGTGTGACAGCCAAATCGAGGGGCACTTTGTGATCTGAAAGGGACCTGCTGTGGGTTCGACGTGGGGGATTGTGAGGGTTGCAGGAAGCTGCAGCCTTTGGGGAGACTGGGAGCAGCCAGGGCACACAGCTACTTGTGCAGGCTCCAAGCAGCCCTTGCAAGGCTGTGAGGCACTACCAAGCGGGAGACTATGACACAGCCCAGGGATCAGGCAGCCTGCACCACAGCAGAGGGCAAGGACAGGAGAGGACTGAACAGTGCTCCGGAAGCAGACGGAAGGAGCTGGGGGGGTTGGGGGGAATGAGCACCCAGTCCTGGATGGGCAGTGGTGCCACGCCTGGAGCGGGAGATCCAGCTTGGAGGCGGGTATCTGGAGAAGGTGGGAGCCCCTGCTGGAGCTGGTGGGGAAGCAAGGGCAGAAGAGAAGGGAGGCATGAGTGACTCGGAAACTCTGTGGCAGAAGCTGTTCACTAGGGCGCTCAGAGGTGAGGTGCTGAGATGTGTGGGGGCTGGGTGGGATTCTCTAGCCTTCGGCAAGGGTGTTTGTGACCTGATTGGTTCCCTGCCACACCCACACACATGGCAGACCATCGCATCCCAGGAGCTGCTGGGGCACCCGAGCCCCTCACTGGCAGCTCCCTGCAAACCCTCGTGCAGCTTGGTTTGGGCCGTAGTCCAGCTGGCTTTCCAGACTTCATGGTAATGCGGGTTGGAAGCCTTGGCTCCACTGGGAGAATACAGGTACCTCTCCATCCTGCTGCTTGCAATCTCTGGCTGGAAGGCAGTCACTCTGTACATCAATCAATTTAGGGAAACCTGACAGAGTGGAGCTCTGGAAGGCCTCTGCTTCCTCCTCCCACCGTCCTGCCAATGGGAGCAGTCCTCTATGGTCCAGGGCACGGTCCAGGCCACCTGGGCCCTGTAGGGAACAATGTTACTTCTCCCCTCTGTTGTCACAGCAGGACAGGTATTTCCTGTCCCCACCTCAGCAGAGGAGGGTACTCGTGCTGAGCTTGTCTATGCCCCTGCCCACCCCTGGCCAGGGGAGGTGTGCCCTCCTGCAATTCTGACAAAGGAGCTGAGCTTGCTCCCTCATCCTGGCCAATTCCCCCTGCTGCCCGCTGTGCCCCTACCTCTGCCCTGGCCTGGGAGCTTCCAGGCTGTTCTGCCCTGGGCAAACCTGGCAGCTGTCTGCTGGTCTGTGTGTGGAGCTGCAGTTTTTCACATTCAAGAGGTGAACAGGGGAGATCATTTGGTCTCAGGTCTCCCACACTAGCACCTGTATCTCACGAAACTGTTGCAATCGCTTCTCAGCTTGGGAAGAGGGAAAATGGCTATTTCCAGGCCCCTCAAAATGGAAACATTTCCCCAGATAGGAGTGGGCCCTCTTGAGTTCTCTGACCCTTTCAACTCCTGAAAAACTATTCCATGGGAACACAGAGGTCAACCCAGAATGCATTCACTTTACTCATCCCAAGTCCATTATCCCTCTTCTGCTTCCAAAAACGAGCGAGCTGCTTGCTGGTGAGTTCATTTTGCTGACAAACCTTCTTGTGATGGTGGGGTCCAGCCCGGGAGTAGGAAGCTGGGGGTTGGGGTGAAGGGGTGCCCCCCATGGACTGCCTGGAGTGCTCCACGCATTTCTTCCCAGAACCCTTCCTGCTCTGATGCACACACTCCCTGTGCTGGTCAGACTCTACTTATGCCCCCAAGTTTGGGGCTAGGGGATTTTTGTCTTGAACATGATGTGTCCCAATATCCAGGTGAGTAGACGTGCAATGAAGACACAGGGGTAACCACAGGGACCATTGAGAAATGCCCAGGACAGTGAGCCGCATTCCCTGCACTTTCTTGTCGGCCAGGGCCCCAGGGTTGCTGGCTGAAGGCTATGTCAGGGACCACCCCAAGTGAGGCTGCCCCTGCCCTGCTCTAGAGGCCGTCCACACCGGCACTTGCTCTCTGAGGCAGACAACCATGTCACCAGCCTTCATCCCCAGCAGCATGCTAAGCATTCCTCAGAAACAAAATCAACAGAAGCGCAGACCCAAGGGGAGGACTTTCCGGAGGTCAGCCTGCACAAGCCTGCTGTGCCCACAACCAAGGTCCCGTGTGGGTGTGCATTGAACCACCCTGGGTGTCCGGGCTGGCAATATGGGTCCTGAGCAGGTTCCCTCCCATCGCTGAGCTCTAGCTTGGGGTTGGTAGGATGGGGTTACCCACCTCTTCCTCTACGGGTGCTAGCACACAGTGCAAGATACAGGAAGTCAGGAGATGCCATGATTTTACAAGAAAACAAGTGTGTTAACACTGGGGCTATCTGAGTGGCTTTGGTGATATGGGGATGAACTCTGACAAGATTTTTCACGTGCCTAGGGAAAAGCTGGACCAACGCATCAAGCCTCTGACTTCACCAACGCCAACACTCAAGACCAGGCTAAAGTCAGATGGTTGTGGGGCTAGAGAGTCTGTTCAACAAACAAATAACATAAAACGAAACAAAAACAAACAAACAAACAAACAAACAAGAGCTGGCAGGAACATGTGGCAAAAATTTCTGAACCAGAACTCAGAAGACACTCTACTGGCGGAGAACAGCAGGTCCCCAAAACTCCTGCCCATCAATGGCCTGTGCCCAGCAAGTGTTGCACGTTATGCTTGGTGGCCTGTCAGGGCGAGCAACCCCAGGGAAGGACCATGGATGACCTAGCATGCACGAGGGGCAAAAGCCGGAAAGAGTTAAAAGACAGGGGTCTGTGCTTTCTCCTTGGCCCATCCCCCCAGCAGCTAATCTGTCACCTAATGAAGAAGGGGGCCCCGGCATAAGCGAGCTGGCTGGCAGTTCACTTCCAGCAAACTGATTAAGAATGTTCAACCAACAGCAGACTGTAGACCTTTCCCGAGAAAATAAATAGAGTGTAGACTGTATGCAAATGTGTTTGTCACTTTGACAGCACGTCTCAATTAAGGCATCTCGTGGCTGTGGGTAGGCTCTGTGGCTGCAGCTGGAAGGGAGAGCTCGTGCATGGCTGATACCGGGGGCTTGACCTTAATCCGCATGCATGCATTAAAAATAAAGAATCCTGCCTTCCTGTACACTTGCATAATGCCGGCAGCCACGTGAGGGAAGTGACAAACGGGGTGGGGGAAAAAAGCCACTTTCATCCTCTTCGGTTTGCAGACCTGGGAAGGCACAGACAGCTCTTCTTTCAACAGGGTTTGGGGGTGGCTTTTTAAATGGTTTATCCCCCACCCGTGAGCAAGTGAGCAAGTGCGTGTGTGCATGGAGGCACACACTGCACTCTTAGTCTGCATTTAGCTGGGAGTGACATTAAAGCGTCTCTACTTCTTGCTGCAATGGAAAGAAGGGTCTTTCTCCATTTCAAACAGGGCCTCCTTTTTTTCATGTGTGTTTCACAAAATGGCATGTTTAACACTGTGAAGCCCTTCTCCCCCACCCTCTCTTTCTGTGTAACGGGTCCCCAACTCCAGCGAGGGGCTCCTTTCATGGGAAGGCTAGAGTGTACTGGAATGAGGACAAAAGAATGGAGGAAGCTGACTCTGGGATAATGTGCTGGTGACAGCCCACGTGGGTCTTGCTTGTAGCAGGTGCCCGTGGCTTATGGGACTGGGATGCAGCTTTCCCCCACACGATGGAAGCTGGCAGCTCCCTGGGGCATGGGCACTGATGGTGACTGGAGGCTCATCCAACGTCAGACTAGCTCTGCCCCTGGCTAGGTCTTTCCTGAGTGGCACCTCCATTTGATCACAGCCCCTTCTACGTGTGACTTCGGCAAGAGGGGAGCAGCCCCAAGTTAAGGAAGCATGAACGCAGGATGAGAGAACTCCGATCTGAGATGGACAATTCTTAGCTTGTGACCAACTCAACCCTGACAGTGGCAAGTATTTTGTTAGTCCTACCCCGTCGTCATGTCTACATAGCTTAGTTCCTGGTACCCAGCGGCCTCTTGCTACATGGTTGTCATAAAATGGGAGCATTTTACGTGTGGGCTTCCAGGGCTTTCAGCGAGAGACACTGTGCGGTTAGGAAAAAAAGCCCAAAGGTTATTGCATGGGTGCCTGAAGAATCAGGTGCTTTGAGAACAAACTTGCACATTCCTGTTACAGCCACATCTTGCTTCATGAACCATTTATCCTCAACCATAAAGAAACACCTTTTGCTCACCAAAGAGTCAACTCGAGAGGACCTTAAACAGGTACATCCATACAACTTCCCCAACCCCAAATCTAACCACAAATGGAAAGTAGATACAAAATATTAGTTTCCATACACGGCTCAGTGTTTCATTGAAAGGGGAGAAAAATCAAACAAATCAATGGTTTTTCACACGTCTCAGATCGCTGGAAAAGAGTTGGTTAGGGAAGCAGACCTCTGGACTCTCAGCCGCTCTTTACCCGGGGAAGGCACGGTTCTGGATACTGAGTTTCAGGAAACATGTTAATAAAGAACTCCTAATTGATTTTTTTTAAAATAAAGACTTTGCTTGTTGTCTTTTATTTGAAGGTGCAAAGAAGGCCCTGGGATGCTAAAGTGTTCTAATGAGATGCTTAGCTAACTGAGAGGCACCTTAAGCCTGGTGCCAGGTGCTGGCAGGGAGGCAGTGGCTACAATTAAATGACTTCATTCAGGAGTTGAGTTAGTCTACGACCAGAGCCGTCCTTGACATTTCTGAAAATGCACTTTCCAAACACGTTCACACACAAAAAAACTCCTTTTGAAGATGTGAGCAAACTTCTTGTAGTTGCTTTGGTGAAACAGAGTACAAAATGGTGAACTCTCTCCTGCCTGCCAATACTTCAGATTCCTGCTGAAACCCGAAAATCAGTCAGGCCTGCCCAAGGGCCGGAACGTACCTGTCCGAAGTGCACGGTGATGGGTCTGCGGTCTTCCCGGAGCCTGGGGTCCTTGGCCTCCACCAGCGGGGACGGCGAAGTCTTGGGCAGCTGCTCCTCTGTGGGGGGTGCACAGCCATTCTCCGTGATGTCCTGCCGGGAGGGACATGGTGGGAGTTAGGATCTGGGGTCAGGAGTCTGGGCCCAAACCCCACAGCTCTGAATCTGCCCCAGCCTCTCCTCCCCTGACAGGTGGAGGAAATGAAAGGCTGACTCAGCTCTTAGACACTGAAGCAGCAGACAGACCCACATGATCCACGTCTGTATTACAAAGATAACATCATAATTCAGGACGATGAGAAACAAAAATCATCCTTCACCCCTGCTATCTGAACATGGCTATTTTCCTATTCATTTTGTCTACAGGCAGACATTTAAAAATTACTTGCAATCACAACTCATGCATAATGTTACAGCCCGCTTTTCCCCAATTCATTATAAACATCTCCATGGAGCTGCACACACATCACTATGATCATTTAATGGATGCATAATATCTCACTGAGCAGATAAACAATGATTTAGGAAACCATTCCACTGCTTTTGGGCATACATGTAGTTTTGAGGTTTATGTTTTTCCTTCTAAATACCAGTGATACATACTTTAGATTTTCTTTCTTTTGCATATATATTATGGAGAGTCCCTGGGCATGAAACTATTCGGTCAAAGGATAGGAACCCGTCTTAGGGCTTTTTGCTCATCCTTTCAAATTGTTTTCTGTTTTACACCCATTACCAGCGATGGGTGTATTGTCAGTTTCATGGGACTTGTTAGCCTTATTGCTAATTTAATAGGTGCAAAGCTAGATCTCATTCTTAAAAATTTGCATAACTTTATCTGTGAGTGGGGACATCTTTCCTATGTTTCAGAACCTGACGTGTTTTGGTTGGGACCTTCCTCTCTACCCCTGGGTCTTCATGGCAGAGGTTTGCGGGGGGCGTTTGTGACCTGGGGGGACTCAGGCAACCACGGGGGCATTCTTAAATCCATAGAGTTGAATGAGGTTGTGCTGTGGATGGACGGGCTCGAGGTCTAAGGACAAGAAGAGCTCCAGCATGCAGCGGGCAGTGCCCAGGGCCCTTTGGTCTGGGCTGGCAGTGGCGAGCATCGGTCAAGCCAGAGAATGGGTGCACATGTAGGTCACACTGTTTCCCCCTGCCTTTTTTTTTCCAAATTCAGTAGAAATAGCTCACACCCAGAAGTCAAAAGATAAAACTGCCTTTTTGTGCTGATAGCGTTCTGCAAACGGGTTGAATGTTCCTAAAATGCACAGGGCCTTCCACAACAAGTGTGGCAAGCACCATCCCCACAAAGTAACACCATGTAAGAAGGGCCAGGCAGCATGGTAGGAAGCAGGGTGGCTCTGGGTGTGTGTGTGGGGGGTGGACTAAGCCAATTTTCTGGGAAAAGGCTAAAACGACAAAGGAGATAGTGCTGAGCCTTGAGTGTGCAGAGCCCAAGCACAGATCCAAGAGAATGTTGGCTATTAAAACATGGGAACATTTTGAACTGGGAGGAGAGAAGAGAAAGGGCCGAGTGATTCAGTTCTGATCTTCATTCTCTGCTTTGTTATGAAGCAAATAAAATCTTAAGGTTATTGTTCATTTAATTTTTGGGGGGGTGGGGAGGAAATAAACTAGAACCATTAATGAAATGCCTCTTGGGGAAAAAAAAGAATAAAACCATTTCCGATTCTTCTTATTTCAAAAACAAATAGGCATTTTTGTCAACAAAATATGGACTAAAGAGTACTCATGAAATCAGAGTGCCCATCAGAGACGCTGGGTAAATGGGCGTTCTCAGCTGAGTTGGGAGAGAGGAGGGACACGCAGGGCAGGAACAGGGCTACATCTGCATCTGAGTTTCCTCATCTGCAGAAGTGGGAAACTCCAGTAGCTCTGAAGATGCAAGGAGACAGCTCACACAACTAGCGGTCTAGAATATCAGCAGCTATTCAAACCATAGGGCTCTGGGCGACAGACACACACGCCTCCCAGGTAAATGTGCGGGCACTTGGGCTTACATGGTCAGCTGCCTGCCCGTTCCTGAGGACTCAAGCTTGCCTGGGGAGGCCAGCCCAGGGACACCCCACAGGGAGACAGGATACTTCTCAGGTTCATGCGGGGCGTGAAGAGGCTCATACAAGCTGGCTCTGTCTCAGGCAGGCTGAGGCTGGGTGATGAGAGAGGCTGAGGAACCCACGGGTGGAAGCTCCCAAGTTCTGTTTGCTCTCCCCTCTCTTTCAAATAATAATCAGAAAGAACTGAAAAAAAGAAAAAGAAAAAAAGGGAAATATTTCTTGGGAGAAGGGCTGCCCAAGGAGCTCAGGTGATGTAGGAGATAAAGAGAAGGGCTTCTGTGTGCCAGGAAGTCACGAAGGGGACACCTAGGCGAGGGGCTCGCAAGGCAGAAGGGGCCCAATGATTGAAAAGTTGAGAGGTTGGGGGAAAAAAAAAAGAAATAACTGCAAACATAACCTAGCGAGAAAACAGGAGTATTCAGTATACATGGTAAGAAGACAGCTACATCAGCAGAGAAATGCACGTTGCGGTTTTGGGGAAAACACCAATGTTTCAACTTGAGTTAATGTTCAACTTTCTATGTCAAACTACTAGCTTCCAGCTTCATGTTCATCATGAACTAGAGGCCTGATGGCGCCAGTTCACTCGGCCTCTCGGCACCTGCTTCCTTATTCTGACTAGGGGGAGACTGCCACCTGCTTGGCAAACTTTCAAGCTCCTGGGAGAAGGGGCTAACTGACATCACAGCACTTTGCTTCCCTGCAAAGCTAAGCGGGGGTCTTCCCTGTGCTAACAGCTGTCTCTAGCAGGCACCCACAGACCCCTGACCCCATGGCGAACAAGACCACACTCTTTCCTAGCGGCTCAGACAGGGGAAGATGCCAAAACGCCACAGGTAGAAAGCAGAGGGTGCTGAAGCCAGGGACCTTTGGCATTTATGCAGGACCATCCCCTGATGACACAAGGGGAGATACCCCGAACCGAGGAGGGGTCCAACAGCCATCCCACGTGACCTCTCCAAGTTCCTCTTCCTCAGGAACCCCTCTTGCTGTTGTGTGTACCACATGCAGCAAATCTCAAGGCTCTTAGCTTGCTGTCTGTCTAGACTGCGACTGACAGCCCAGACTCCAGGATGCATGTTCCGGTAACCCTCTGTGGACCTGAGCTGAATGTGTGGAGCAAGCAGACAGAAGCACCTGCACTGTCAATAAGCAGGCTGCTTCCTGGCTTTATGTTTGTTAGGAGATCCAGATAGGCAGATTTTTTTTTTTTTCCCACAAAGAACTTGTGGTGCATGGGGAGCTGGGCTGCCCGCTACAACACCTGCATTCTATATGTGAGCACTGGTTCGAGTCACGGCTGCAGCACTGTTGATCTAGGTCGAGGCTAATGCACCTGGCAAAATAGCAGAAGATAATCCAGGTGCCTGGGCCTCTGCCACCCACGTGGAGATGCAGATAGAGCTCTGGGCCTCTGGCTCTGGCCCGAATCATCCTCTGACTGTTGCGTCCTTTTGGAAGTAAACCAGCAGAGGAAGATGTCTCTGTATCACCCTGCCGTCCAAATAAATACCCATGTTTCCATTTCTTCACTGTTTATTCTACCTCGGAAAGGACAACAGCTTCCTCCCAGGATGGCACAGGGAGCAGAGTGGGAGGAGCCCCAGTCACGACAGAAAGAGGAGCTGTACACAGCCGCTGCTAGGATCCACCTGCAAGATGTCACGCTAGCTCCCTGTATGCCACCGGTATGTTCCAGGACCCCTAGGGGATGCCTGAGACCCACAGGCTGGGTGTTTTCCTACACAAACTCCTATGATAGAGTCTAACTTATAAATCAGCCATAGGAACAGAAAACCAACAGCAGGTAATGATGAAGTAGAATAAGTACAACAATAGAAGGTGGCAAAAGTTTTGGGAGTGTGGCATTATCCTCTCAAAATACCTTCTGGTCCTGTGCTGTAGCTCTGGACCACAGCTGGCTGAAACTGTGGGAAGTGAAGCTGCGATAGATAAGAGGGTACAATTGTAGGAGAGGAGCCAAGAATGCCAACTTCTGGTACCTGGCATCAGCTCTGGTGGCCCCTGGCCAAGGGCTGGGGACACAGGTGTGCTCACGCCTGTCTGCTGGGAATGTGAGCTGTCAGCTCGCACCAAGAACCTAAGATGTGTGTGTGTGCCCCCCCTTGGGTCCACTAATTCCATGTCTGGAAGCATGGTCTAATGGAATAAAAGGAACTCTGGGAGGGCCCTACCTCTGAGGATGTACAGCCCAAGCACGTGTGTGGGCTGGGAAATGCTCAGGACACACACTGAGTGAAAGCACGCGTTATGAAACAGGATTATTTTGTTTCCCACTTATCTGGTGTTGCTGATTCCCCCTCCCCTGCAAATATGCAATTTGCTTGTAGACAGAAAGAAAAAAAATCTGACCTCCTAAATGTCATTTTTTAAAAAGGCAGAACAGAGCAGCTTGTTGGAGGGGTGGGCCTGTTCTTTCCTGATGGGTCCACACAGAGTGGCAGGTTTCTTCCCAGAGGCCCTGTGCTGTGGCTGAGGGCACCAGGTCCTCCAGTCCCCATCCATGGGTAAAGCCTAGTAGCAGGAAATAATTCTATTCCCATCCTCTTTCCTGAGCATGCCTTGGGACCCAAACCCACGGCCAAAGCCAAACCTCCACCCCTCCTGCAGCGGGCAGGTGTAGTGGTAAGTGGATTCGGATCTCAGGAGACCTGAGGACCAAGTGGCCTTGGTGGTAGTGATCACAGTAGGGTGGGGTGAAGGGTTGGGCATGGAAGAAGTTGAGGATGACAGAGCTTCCTGAGGCAGAGATCAAGGTACAGAGTGGACATGTCCATGGGATGGCAGATGTCCCTCTGGTGGCTGTCACCTTGTCCCCTTGGCAAGGAAATGGAAGGTCTGAAAGGTTGGGAGGGTTTTAACCAAGGGACTGGCTTCTGCAGAGTCCTCTGCGTGCTGTGTGGGAGACCTCCAGGAAAGGGAAGCATGCCGGATGCGTCCTAGGTATGTGGAAGGAAGGGCTGCTCCAGGTGAGGAATGGGAGATGATGGACAGGACTGGCCCCTTTCAGTTCTCACTGTGATCCAGTGTAAGCCTGCATTGTCTCTAGAATATGGCGTAGGCTAGCTAGACTCAGACAAGTGCAGTAGCTCATCCAAGGTCACCCACTTAGCGTCCTTTACAGCACTAACCCTGGCTCACCTCCCCCTCTGCCACGCAAGAGAACTTCAAGGGCTCTGTGGCAGGTGGCTGAGCTGTTCCAGCTCTGACACAGCCTGCAGGTGGCAGAGCTATCTGTCCATTGCCATTTTCAGACTCACGAGCCTGCTCCATGCCACAGCAAACGCAGATTAAAATGAATACTGGTATCAAGTTAGGAGCCAACACTGGCGTCCCCGGGATGCAGGCTGAAGTGTGCTTTACTGTGTTTGGAGACGGGGGGGGGGGGCCAACAATCGCAGGGTAAGGTGCAGAAATGTTCCACTGAGAAGCCCAACTATTAGCTCCAGCGGGAAGCACACTCACACATATGCCCCTTGGTACACTGGGGGTACATAGCCAGAAACTCAATCAGCTATGAATCTGCTCGTTTTTTGCTCATAGAGACATCATGTCAACATGATGCTTGTCTTCTGAGGATCCAGGATCCTCAGGCTGTGAAATGGGCCGGTTTGCAAAGACATGTTTCCCAGCAGGCAAAGAAGGCTGCCTCATGTGGCCGTCCTAAAATACCTGGGTGAGGGAGCGTGGCCTCGGTTTGGAGAAGGGGCCCAGCAGTGACCGGTGCTGTGGTAAGATGCCCACAGTGGCAGCCGGGCCACCGGGCACCCTCTCATGGGCCAGGTCTGGTGGGGAGCACCTCTGTTCTCCTTTAGACAGCCATAGCCGAGTGCTGTCTGTTTCTGCCATTTTTTTCCCCTTCTTCATTTTGAGTAAGTCCGACTTCAAAGGATGCTAAACCAGGCAAGAACTTGACCAGTTTGCTTCATTTTTCTTCCGGGGGAGGGGTGGGGGTCGGGAGGGAATGTTCTCCACCCTTCTCCTTTTGTTGTTGTTGTTGTTGGACTGAAGCAGAGCTGGTGAGGAAGAAAGACACACAAAGGCTCGGGGGACAATGATTTGCCAACGGCCACACAGACACCTTGAAAGCCTCTCTTTCTGGGGCTTTGAAGATCTGCAGCACAAAAGGAGTGAGGAATGGGGAAGGGGCCCCGCTCCGACATATCAGAGATGGCCCCTCCGCACACCGCTACTGTGACCTCTCCAGACGTTGGGCCTCGTGTCTATTTGCAATTCAAACCCAAGGCGAGGGCCAAGAGGGCGAGACTGGCTTGGTGATTGTATCTGCCGGGTCGCCATTGCTATGCAGACCCAGGGGAGGCCAGGTGACCACCCAGCCCAGCTGACAATTGGATCTTGGCTGGGGACTGCTCCAGCCGCTTAACGCCGGAAGCTAGTCGTGGGCTGTCTGCGGCAGGTGCCATCTGGAGAGCCAAGGAGATGTGTCACCGTGTGGAGGGGAGGGGCATGGAGCTGAAAAGCCAGGGAAATATTTTCTGCTGCACCGAGGGAGGTCAGGCGAGGCCAAATCCTAAATTGGCTCAAGAAAGGGAGCCGGGGCTCTCTGGAGACCCAAGGGTTGTGTGTACTGAACAATGCCAGAGTTTCAATTACAAAATAGCTCTTCCGAGAGCAACTGCAGAAACATCAGGCCTTGTGGAAATCTCTACCCTGGAAGCGGGTGGGGGCGGGGGTGGAGGGAGAGAAGTGAAAATTGAAAAGGGTGCACTAATAGATCTGTCAACAGTCCGGTGGTGACGAGCCACATTTCTACAAAATGCCTCCGCTGTCTGTGTCACCTGAGAGGTACTGACACGATGGAACATTATCTCCTGAAGCGATTCTTGAAAAGACTGGCAGGGGGAAGAGAAAGGGAGGGCAAGGGGATGCGGGGGAGGCAAGAGAAGAAGGGGACCCGAGAAGGGTGCGTCCCAGACTTTCAACGAACAGAGAGGGAGGTGCCATGAAGGGGTCTACGTTATTTCCATGAGCCCTTGAATAGGCATGTGACAAAACCTGTGGTTGTGGGGGAAGGTGATGTGGTCTCGCCTGCGAGGAAGAAGCTAAGGGGCATGTCTCCAGCCACAGCAGGATGAGCAGAGGTGAGCTGCGCACCCATGGGACAGCTAAGCCCAGGGCCTCCCTGTCGTGGTCTGTCGCAGGTCTTAGCCCAACCCCAGCCTGAGCCGGTCAGGAAGGACAAGGCCCCTGTCCTGCCACTCTGTTCTGCTTTTGCAATGCGATCCGCTGCATGTGACTGGGCTGCAAGATGAAAGCTGCACACTGAGGCTCAAACAACGTCCAAGGCAAGCTTTCCACATGCCTGCCTCAGGCAGGGTGCCACAGACTGCGCTACCGCTACCTGAATTCACGGGACAGAGCTTTTGGTTCAGCATGCGACTCTAGGCTGGCTTGGTTAAAAAAAAAAAAAGAAAGAAAGAAAGAAAGAAAGAAGGCGGGGTGAGGGGAGAAACACCTCACTGTCAGCTGGAACAAAGAATTTAAATGCTTAGTCAGAGCAAATTATTTTCCAATTAAAAGAAAGGAATCAATTTCTTCGACCATTTCAAGTTAATTAGAGGCCCTTTTTGACTTTGTAAAATTAAAATTCCTTTCAATTAAAAAAAAAAAAAGAGTACCAAGACATATAAAGGCTCTTACTTGAGGAGTACTGTTTTGGGGGGTTGAGGGTGTGAGCATCTCACGGAAAACAAAACCCTTGTTCCAGGGAGGCAGGGAGAGAGGTCCGCCATAGCAAGTGCACTCACACTGTGGGTCGGCGGGTCTGGAATCTAATCCCGGCCGTGCCAGGCTTAAGCCAGGCGGCTGTGGGCAGAGCCCTGCACCTGTGAACCGCAGTCTCTATACTCTCCAGTGGGAGTAAGTCCCTGCAGGGCTATTCTGAGGATTGTGAAAGATCCCAACCTGGACCATTCCTAACAAGTGCTCATCATCACATTACTATGGCCTCTCCGTTACAGTGACTGCGCTGCCCAAGGCTAGAGATTCTGGTGGGGAGAGAGGGGAGGGATGCGTGGCAGGACCCCTCAGTCAGGACAATGGCCGGGGTGACTGGTGGTCCGGGGGACACCACCAGAGCCCACTCTTCTTGCCTGGGGTCTCAGAAGGAAACTGCTGGGCTCCTTTCACTCTACCCGCTATAGTGAAGTGATCCACAGCCACTGCCCCAAACCTACCCCGTGGTGGCCTGGGTGGTACCCTTGGGTGTTGGTGATGGCCAGGCCTGGGCTGGGACAGGGGGAAGCCTGTGGGGCCCAGGCCCACAGGGGCAGGCAAGGGGCAGAGGGACAGTGGGAACTGTGAACTTGCTCGCCTTTGTGGATTTAAGCCACAGTCTTCATGTTATTTGAAGACAGGGTTTTTTTTTTTTTTTTGTCTGTGAATATTTATAACAGTGTGAAAACTCCCGGACAGCTGGTAGTGCATTTTGAAGCGTGCTAACAACACTATATCAAACAGCTCTCTATTGATTACACCGTACTTTTTCTGTGGCCACAATTCAGACATGGTGCTTATACATTTTGAATAAGAACTTCAAGTACCTTTTGCTTCAAGCGGTTTTTCACCTCTTTTATTCCCATTTTTGCATGATCTTTTGCCTGCATGAAAAATTAATTTAAGTTAAGATTCCCTCTCTGTATCCAGCAGGGACTGTGCCTGATTTCAGTCCGTCGCGAATCACCTTCTCTGATTACTAGAAAAAGGAAGGAAAAATAGGATCATCAAGTCAAAAACATAATGGCTCCGAAAACAAACAGAACAGTAAAAGGTTAAAAAAAAAAATCCCAAGACACTATTGCCTGCGTTTGGATGGCAGTCCCACCCCACCCCCCTTTTCCGCTCTCTATAATTATTTATCCTGGCAGCCTGGTGATGGCTAACAGTACGAGCGAGACAGTGGCTTTCCCGGCTGCGGGATTCGGAAAGCCCGCTCCATCACGCCAGGGCGGTCTTGGGTCCCATTCTCTGCCTGGAGCCAAGGGACCGCGACAGGAATATCACTGGTTGTCTCCAACGCCACTTCTCCTGTCTCCTGCAGGGGTGAGGCCCTGGCTCTTTCATTTGATGCCATCTCAGACCTAGGTGGTAACACTAGCAGTCACCCTCCTGTGCATGCAGCTATAGTGTAAGCATAGAAGAGTTTAACTTAAAAGAAAAAGAAGGAAATAAAAGAAAACCACCCCGTTTTAGTAGTGACTCAGGGTCAAATTAGCAAGAGAATCATGAGCCCCCCTCCTCCCAAGGAAAGGCACTTGAGGCTTGTAGAGAAGGGGGGGAGGGAGGGAGGAACAGGAATGGACATGTTTGCTTGTAGATTCTGGGCACTGGGAAATACATTTCCTGGGTGTGGGGTGGAGCGAGGAGAGAGGTGATCAAAACTTTAGGGCAAAAATGAGGGGGTGTGTCCTACGGGGAACACTCCCAAGGAACCAGCCCAGCAGCGGCTTGGTTAGGCAGGGGGAGGTGTGCCTGGGGTGTGGCCCTGCTGCTCCACCTGCATGTTAACTCCACCGTCAGCAGCCACCTGCACCCTTCCCCCGGCCCGCCACCCCCCCACCCCCTGCCAACCACCCCCAGAGCCCCCGTTTTCTGTAGAAGCTCCTAGGAGCCATGACCCCTGAAGCTGCTGGTGTTGCTCAAATGGACATGCCTGAGGGTGGCCAGCCCACGTCATCGTGTCTCTGACCCAGAGGACAGAGCCCAGGAGGAGTTGCCCTTGGCCTTGCGCCCCCCCCAACCCCCGCCCCAGAGCACTACTTACAAACTTGTAGACGGTCTTCATGGCAGGGTTGGCTTTCGTTTTCACGGTGTTCAGGATGGCCCCGCTTCCTTTCTGCAACAGAAACGCCAGTGAGCATCTGGGACTGAAGGGTGAATACGCTGACACCCAGAGAACCTCTTCTCTGCCATCAAGTGAAAGCGCCATTCCCAGGGCGTGTGCTTTAGGTAGCAAGCTGGGCCTTGATGATCAGCTGGCCTTGGGCGGCCACAGCCATAGTTACGGCAAGGTCGCTCTGGGGGTGTGGGTGTAAGTCTGACAGTGAGAGCGAGTGTGAAAACCAGCCGAAGAGCACTCTGGCCTGGGATCCTGCTGACACCCGCCCCCGGGCTGTCTGGAGGTAAAGGTTTGCCAGAATTCGACCACAGACCAGGTCCTGGTGAGTGTGGCGAGGGTAGAGTCTGGCTGACATGCAGCTGGGCTGAGAGCGGGGTCCTGGGGGGCCAGGCCAGTCTGGCAACGCGCCGCCCCTCGGTGCACTTTCTCTGCTCACCTCGGAGCTCTGGGCTGCATTCTACAGCCTCTCTGGCAGGCTGCCCTCCTTACCATCTACATCTTGAGAAAAGGAAAGAATGAACAGCTATAAATGTCGACCAGGGCTCAGGGAGAAATCCGCTACAGGATGTCCCGCTTGCTGTCGGGAGGGAGCAGGGGATACAGAGGAGGAGGAGCAAAGGCCTTCCTCCCCCACTTAGGAGTGGCAGCAGAAGCACCCAGGGTGCGTGTGTTACAGCGGTTTTTGTAAATGCATTCTCTGGTCTCGCTCCTGCAGCACATAGCCTGAGAGCTCCCTTGCTGCTGGGTCTGCAGGGTCTGGTCTCTGTCTTCAAGGACCCTCAGCCTCAGGGTGGAAGGCACCAGGCAGAGAACAGACAAGGGGAGAACTGGGAGGACGGGGAGGCAGTGTGCACCAGGGCCGTGGAAAGGCCTCCGGAGAACAGAACATCTGCTGTGGCCCACGAGGGTGAAAGGAGTGGATGTGGCCGGCGGGAGGACAGGAACATTCTTGGGACCGGAAGTCACACATCATAAAGTGCAGAAGCTGCGCAGCCGTGGTGTGTTCTCTGGAGGGGCCGGAGGGGCCAGGGCAGGAAGCGAGGCTAGGAGGCCGGAAGGGTCCTGCAATACCAGGCTAAGGTGTCTACACTGCAGGGGTGAAGGGCAGGGGCGCAGGAGGGTGCATCGAGTACCTCGCATCACCAGGCCTGCAGTACAAACTGAAGGACAGGGGGCCCGCAGCCACAGTGCGCACAGGAGGAAGATGCAAGAATGCCAGTCCGGGAATTCACTGTGAGGACAATTTTTGGTAACCGCCCACAAGGAAAAAAAAATAAAAACCCTCAAAACCTCCGACTTTAATTGAAAACAGGATGATTCGACCTAGAAAGCATTTAGCGCTGTGAGACAATAGGATGTTTTTACCCACTCACTCATTCCACGCTGCCTTCCAGTGTGACTCAGTATCCTCTAATGGCGGCTTGCAGGGCTGCCACGCCCCTTATCAATCAATCATCACGTTCTCCTGGCCTGTCTCTGATTTGCCAAGTGGTGTGCTTGGTCGTGCAACAAGAACAAAGGAAGTCTCTCATGGAGGAACTGTGTGGGCTCGGCCAAGGGCAGCGGCTTGCGAGGGGCCCGCCTAGCAGTGGCTCACTCGGTCCAGGTGCCGGCCAAGAACACTTGGCACACTGTGCTGCAGTGGCCTGCTCAGGTGCCCGCCTCCCCAAGGGGTTAGGGTGCCCTCCTCCCAGGGCAGGGCCTGTGGCCTGCTCCCCGCCCTCGGCCCCCCACACTCAGCGAGGCTGTGGTTGGTACACACTGCATGAGACCAACGAGGAAAGGCCAGAATTTGGGTTCTTCAGAGGCTCGGGGGCTCGTGGCGGGGGGGGGACACCTGGTCCTGTTTCTTGGTGGGGAGAGGCATTCACTCAGTGATGGGTACCCCACCTTGCAGAAGCCTCTGCTGTGGGACAGACACACCTCCGCTCTCCATACGACCATGGTATCAACACTACTGCCCTAGCAAGAGACCCCAGCAATGCTCTCAGACTGCAACCTTGCCTTCCATGGGGCCTCGCCAGCTTCCTGGAGAAATGCCTGCTTCTCCGGCCTCTCTCTGCCCTCGTCAATGGGTGGCTTTAGATGGTGCCATCCTTGTAGCCTCCACCTGCCCTGGGGTTGGCCTGGCTTTAAGCCCCAAAGTTGAGAGGAGAGAAGGCTCCAGACCCTCCCAGCCGCCCCACAGTGGCCTTCCAGAGGGCCTGCTCGCTGCAGCAGGCACACACTTACCCGGACTGTGGAGAGCCACTGATGGTATACTTTGTCACTGCCTGAGGGGAGAGAAGATGGCGAGGTTGTGATTTAGAGGGTTTTGCAGGCCGCAGTGGGCATGCAGGGCGGGGAGGGCTCACAGTCCAGGGGCTGTGCCCTGGAGGACGCAGCTGGGTTGGGAGGAGGTCCCTACCTCCTAATGTTCGGTTGCCACAACACCACAGTCCTCCCCACTTCGGATAGCAGCGCATGGCCAGTCTCCACAGCCTCCACCTCCCAGCCGCTGCCTCTCCAGCAGGGCTGCCATCCTGTGCTGCCTTACGCTGTAATCACGACGGTCTGCCTGGGCTTCCGCAAGCAAGTGGCCTGTCCGATGCCTGCTCACCGCTGCCCTATCTCAGCTCAGTAACCTCAACAGCCAGCCCGGGTGGCACTTCCTCTCCAAACCCCTCCTGTTTTCTACAGTATCTGAGGGACTGTGGGCCGGGCCAGAGGACAAGGGCCCCTCTACCCAACCCCTGCCCGGGCCCGACCCTCTGTGGCACAATATGAGGACCCTGTGGGCAGAGCTTTGGTATTCTGTCACTGCCCAGCACCTTGGGGACTGTGTGTGTGTGTCCCCCACAGGCAGACTGTCGCACCTCCTTTCTGGGCCTCGGATGCTGCCTATGAGCAGGTATGTGGAGACAGGGCACCTGGCGGTGATTTTCACATCTGAAAGTACAATCTGCTGAGCTGTGACCCTATGCTGGGCCTGCATGGGGCTGGCCTCACAGCTCTGATTTGGGCTACAAGCAGGACACCACCAAGGTCCTGACGTCACCAGCAGGGGGCAGGCTTCCCATGGCGCACCTCAGGGTCCTGCTGGCTACCAAGTGTAACTCAGCTTTGTCTAGACAGGGGAAGTGGCTTGGTCCCAGGACAGAAGGCGGTGTATGGTTCAGGAGTGTCTCACCAAGAAACAGAGAATTTCCCTCTAACATTTCAGGGGCCAAAGGTTGAAACCAGTGTCTTCCGAACCCCCAGAGGGAGCAAGGAAGAAGTCCTGGCTACCTCCTGCTGACGCAGCCTCGCCCAAAGCCCCCTGGAAGGGGAGGAAGCAGGGTCTCACCTGCATACTCGCCCATGTTGATCTCCTCCTCAAAGATGTCACTGAACCCTTCTCCAGAATTCAGGAGGTCCAACCGGCCATCAATGAACTGTCAAAAGGAAAATGCCAGGATTCCTGTTGACGCCAGGAGATGGGACAGGGTGGGGGAGCCAGCCGGAGGGGCACCTCAGCGGAAGAGCAAGGAAGGAACATGCGTTCCAAGCCAGGAAAGGCCTTCTGACCTCAGCGGTTCCCGGAAAGTGTCAGTGAGCAGGTGTCCTGGAAAGCTCTCTGCACCCAGCCCCCTCCCCTCGCCTGGGGTCTGGATCCCCCTCCCTGCCTGCAACCTCACAGGCACTTGGGGGGTACAAGGCAGCTGCAGAAGCTTGCTTCTCCATGGGGAGGGTCCAGCCCAGGCTGGGTACCTGTTTGAAGAGCTGCAGCTGCGTGGCATTCTGCAGGAACTGCCTCATGGCGCCGGAGCGGTAGTGGGACACGAAGGCCTCCTCGCAGAAGGTGATGGGCTCCTCCTGGGGAACGAAGCAGGGAGAGCGAAGGTCAAGGGCGCGGAAGGCAGTGGGTGCTTAGGAGCCTGCAGAGCCTGTTGACTGCTCAGCTGGCAGTTCTCCCAGATGCCACTCTTATCCCCACTGTTCCAGGAAAGAAGAGCCAGGCCTCAGAGTTGGCGGTAGCCATTCTAACTCCGGAACCCCAACGGGCCACCTGATGTCCCTCCAGGGTGCCACTTGTGCCACTTCTCCTCTTGCTTTTAGGAGTAGGACACCTTAACAGAGAGAACCTGAGGCAGGACAAGCCCGGTTCCTAGGGCAGAGGGGGGTGGACACTGGCCGGGATAGGGGTTGTTACTACCGTCCTGATGGCTGCCCTCACTGCCCCTCCCCCCCCACCTACACACACACACACACACACACACACACACACACACACACACACACACACTCCAGGCACCAGCCACAGAACAGCCTGAAAACCACTGACGCAGGGTCCCAACTACTAGCAAAGTATGACTGTAAAATAATTATTTATTCTGAAAAAGGAAGGGATGATCAGAAATACAATTTAAGCATCAAATCCGGAGAAATTAACGCTTTGATTCAGAAGCTTGCTTTCACCAAACTGTATCTTATCAGTCAAAAAAAAGAAAAAGAAAAGAAAAGAAAAGAAGAAGATACACTCGGCTTAAACAGACAAAAAAATAATGCATCCTCGCAGAGGTGTACTTCCGAAGCCTGTGGAGAATGGTCCTGGCCTTGAGGTTAAGGTGCCCCTGTCCACTTGGGACTTGGGAGTGGCCGGGTTCTACACCCAGCTCTGGCTCCTGACTCTTTCCTGTTAACGGGGATCCTGGAAGGCATGGTGCTCGCTAAAGTGACCGGTTCCTGTCGCTCATGTGGGAGACCTGGGTTAGGCTCCTGGCTCCTAGCTTTAGTGCCCAGCCCAGCTCAGGGCCTCCGTGGATGGTCGGGGAACGAATGAGCATCTGGGAACTCTTTTCCCTCTCTTGCACAAATGAAAAATAAAGTTTCTAAATTAGTCTATTTTGGTGTTTATAGAACGGGTGGGGGGGCAGGTGGAACATTGTGGCCCCACAGTGTCTAACAGGGGCATCCCACAGGGGTGCCGGTTCAAGTTCTGGCTACTCCACTTGCGACGCAGTTCCCTGCTTACTCACAAGTGCTTGGGGTGCTGCCAGCCACGTGGGAGACTCAGAAAGAAATTCAGGCTCCTGCCTTCAGTCTGGCTTAACCTTGCCTGTTGTAGCCATTTGGAGAATAAATCTCTGCCTTTCAAATCAACAACAACCAAAAAAGCCTTTAAAAATATAGTTTTGAAAGCTAGGCCTAGATTTTAAAAATTTCCCTTTCTATGTCGATGAAGTTTTTGAAGATCCCCCGTAGGTCTCAGGTTCCAAAACTTGCTGACCAAAACCCGTTTAGTTCCCTTCTTGTCTCATACCCGTCCTGAAGCGTCCTTCCAGCCTGACACCGTCATCTTGACTTTGAACACATTTGGTGAACTTGTCTATACAGACAAACCTTTCAATTTCAGCAACGTGTTTTTGATTCTGAATGATCACACTTTCATATCTTGGGCTGATTTACGGGTCAACCTCCCTTCTGCTAATCACAGGCTTGGGGGCCAATGCAGGCAGCTTCACTTTTTTTCTGTTTTATCAAGTTACAGGAGTGATAAATGTGCATAATGCCAGCTCAGCAACTGGGCAGACTTAAGGCAGGAGGGCTGTAAGGATGACTCCAAATTATTAACATAGGAAGAAAATCTATTTCTACACAATTATATCCAGTTTAAAAATGATCTGAGGTAGCTTACATGAGTACCAAAAAAACAGCAAACAATAACAACAAAAACCCAAGGCTAGAATATCATTAAATGTATTTTATATATTTACCAGGGAAAAGAATATCTAGATAGATAGGTTCTAGACGGTTCCTACAATTCAATTACAAAATTAGCTCTGAGGGCCCAGCACAGTAGCCTAGCGGCTTAAGTCCTTGCTTTGCACGTGCCTGAATCCCATATGGGCACTGATTCATATCCCAGCAGCCCCACTTCCCATCCAGCTCCCTGCTTGTGACCTGGGAAAGCAATTAAGGATGGCCCAAATCCTTGGGACCCTGCACCTGCATGGGAGACCCGAAGGAGGCTCTGGGCTCCTGGCTTCAGATTGGTGCAGTTCCGGCCATTGTAGCCACTTGGGGAATAAATCAAAAGATAGAAGATCTTCCTCTCTGTCTCTCCTCCTCTCTGTATATCTGACTTTGCAATAAAAATAAAATAAATTTTTAAAAATAATGAGCTCTGAATTTCCTGGCTGCCAAAGCAAGAAAGGAAATGACACAAATTTTACAATTACGTATGGGGGAGAAGGAAGCATAAGAAATCCTTAGGGAAAAGAGCTCTCCATGGCATTTTACACAGATTTTCCTGTATGTGGATTTTACACCTTGCATGCCCAACAGAAGAGGGGCCAGGTATTGCTAACCAGCAGGAGTCCAGAGAGAATTCTAAATTCTTGGTGACCTGTGAGTTTTGCTGCTCGCCCCTGGGACTTGGGGTAATTCTGTCTACAGGTAATGCCACCCCATGCTCAGCATCATTCATTAACTGTTGACTCCTGTGAGTGCTCTTGGCTCAGTCCTCACTCAGACGCCCCACTGGTACTTAATAAACTCCAACTAGTCCAAACCCTCGATTACTGTTCCACCAGGATCACTTATTTTTTTAATAAGATTTATCTATTTTTATTGCAAAGTCAGACACATATACAGAAAGAGAAGAGGAGAGACAGAGAGAAAGATCTTCCATCTGATGATTCACTCCCAAAGTGACCACAACGGCCAGTGCTGCACCGATCCAAAGTCAGGAGCCAGGAACCTCCTCCAGGTCTCGCACGTGGGTGCAGGGTCCCAAGGCTTTGGGCCATCCTCGACTGCTTTTCCAGGTCACAAGCAGGGAGCTGGTTGGGAAGTAGAGTTGCTGGGATTAGAACCGGCATCCATATGGGATCCCAGCACGTTCAAGGTGAGGACTTAAGCTGCTAAGCCACAGCGCCAGGCCCCGGGATCACTTCTTAATGACCAGACTCCCCAGCTAACAGTTCATTTGTCAGACTGCCACAGTCTCACCAAGCCACCTGCCAAGTGTGTCACGTGCCCATCTCCGGCTGTCTCGCTGCACAGGCCTGGACTGTCTCAGGAGAGGGTCGGTTACCCATCCCTCTCCAGCCTCGCCTTGCCCAGTTCCCTCCTGCTGGAGTAACTTCCAAAATGCAGACCACATCAGGCTGCTACCCTGCTCCAGAAGTCAGACTGCATCAGACGCCGCCTCTGTGTGATGGCTGATTGACGTCCGTCCCCTCTGCGTCCCCTCTGCCCACGGCCCTGCAGGCTCCGTGCAGGAGAGTGGCAGCTGCTTTGCTCAACACTGCACACCTCGCAGCGTGTGGCACACACAGGCGTGCTGGGAGCACGGGGAAGCAGCTCCTCAGTACGGCCTTAGCTCACCCCACCTTTCTCTCCCAGAGCCCTCCTTTATTTACCATTTACAAGAGAAAGAGACGGAGTGCTCCTGGCCACTCCCCCAACACTTGCAGCAGCCAGGGCTGGGCCAGGCCAAAGTCTGGAAACTTGTGACATGTGGGCACAGGGCCCAGAGATGTGAACCACCTGCTGCTTCCAGGGTCTGCATTAGCTGGAGCTGGAGTTGGAACAGGACTGGAAGGGGGTCCTAGCCACACACCCGCCCCTCTCCCCTCAGGAGTCCTTGAGGGGTCACACTGCCTCTGCTCTCATGTATGACTTAGCTTTCAACCCGGTCCTGTCCTTTCTCACTTTCTTGCTTGCTTTCTCCTGTTCTACTCCTTCCGCCCTCACTGTTCCCCCTTGCAAATGCAGGCCCCGGGGGTGCGGGGGGCAGTGCAGACCCTCAGGGTGCTCTCCTGCCAGGCTCATGCTCTCAGGACCCTGTGGTCCCGGTGTGGCCCAGGGCAGGGTCGAACTGCAGGGAGAGTGGCAGGGACCTCAAATCGGGGAAGGCCTGATGTCCATTTCTGGGGGGTGACACACACCTGGATCCTACACCTGTGCCATCAACACAAACAAAATGACCCGAGCACAGATGGGAAAGACTGTATGAAAGCGTGGCGAGGGGTAGTGTTTTCTGCCAAGGGCTTGAAGAACTTCACGGGCCCTGAGAGGCAGACACGGGACAGGAGGCAAGGACGAGGCTGGCAGGGCACAGCGGAAGACAGGAGAGGAGACTTTTCCCAGGGCAGCAGGCTGGAAGGCACACCAGGAAGTGGGCGCTCTCCATCTGGGCAGCAGGTCCCCATGCTTCAGGGCCCGACACTTGTGGCCTAATCCTGCTGAGAGGAAGTGACGTGGTCCCTGGCAGCAAGCAGAGGTCTGCGTGGCAATAGGTACTGAGGGCTCATGTCCCTGGAGCCACCACTCAGGTGTGCTGATGGTGACAGCTGCAACAGTGCCCCTTATAGGGGAGGTTTCACATTTCTTACCTTGTAACTTTTTAAAAACATTTAACCTTTCTTCTGGATGATTTTACATAGTTGATTAGGGTGATAGGAAAGTGGGTGAGACCATTATTTCCACATTTTCTTTTTTTCCTTCCTTCCTGTAGCCCCGTCATTTTAATACTTACAGACTAGGAAGTGAAGGAAGACACCTGCCGTAGGGGACACGAAATGTGAGTGGCCTTCAGAGTTTACCACCTGGTGGCCTCAAGGCCCAGGTATCCTCAGCATGCGTGTGGTTTACCATAGACCTGGCTTTAATCGAAGGCTGAGTCCTAAGCGTGTGTCTGCGGACGTCTGCTGGAGAACAGGTGGCTTCCCTTTGAAGGTGTGACCTGGCGGGTTCTCACGGACACTTTAGGAGAGCACCAGCAGTCCCCGGAGTCAGCGGACAGCAGTCGGGGTTCTTGCTGCCGTGGCCAGGGAGCAGGATCCAGCAGCTCGTGCACCCTGCCCTGT